CACCCAAGAAAAGCCGACTCATATGTTTGAATTCTGCGCATTCCATTAGCTTGGGAACTTCTAGTATGTCTTGTGGCTTTATTACCCAACCAGAATCATTTTCTGGATTTGTTTGCCCACTTCCAATCTCGCACTGCTATTTGAAAATACACTAGCGCTTAACGCAATGTGTTTCTTTTCCTAAGTGCTCTTCGAAGTGACGCAATTGTTCGATCTGGCAAGTAAATTTTAGAAATTTTGCAATTTTAAAATTTTGAAATTTCAAAATTCTAAAAATTTTAAAATTTTGAATGGTAGACGTAAAAAAAATTCAGGGGCTAAATCCTTGAGTGTTAGAAACATTGCTGGGCTACCTCACATGACTGCGGTCGTTACTCCAGTTCCTTCGTTTGTGTGTTGCATGCCTCCAGTTAGTGCCTACAACTTTTTTACTACACTTGAGACACACCTCTTTAAGAGGCTCTTTAATGGTCACTTGTTCCCTCGCGGGTTATCTCCTCACGTGAAAACGATTCGCACATATTGCTAACTGATTTGAGTTACGTCGGTCCCATGTTCTGAAATACTTTAAAACGCGCCATCTTTTTAGGAAACAACCGGCTATTTGTCACATCCTATTTGTCGCATAAGCCGATAAGCGATTTCCAGCATTTGCCAGTGGTTTTTGCTCAGTGCTGAAATTTTTAAAGGCCTTTTAGTGAATGTATTTTTAGATATATTCCAGCCGGTAAGAATGCCAAAGAAATCTTGCTGACCTTTGCACGGTCACTTATTGTCTATATGGGAAAGTACTCCGAGAAATACTTTGATCCGGAAAGCGATTACGAGCCGATTCCTGAAAAGCCACGAAAAACTGCAACGGCCGACGGCGATGTGCCAAAAAATTAATGCTGTATTTACTTATGTTGTATATTTTTTTCACCATATCATTTGGATTTTAGGCAACCACTAAAGCTCGGCTTGACTTTGGCGCACAATATGCACCTGTTTTTGGGTTGTGGTTTGAGTTACAAAAATCGTGTACCGCGTTCTTTTTCTAAGTAACATTCGAGGCGTCACGTTCAAAACTTCTTGCTTCACCTCAGATTCAAGCTGAAATCAAGATTCGGGTTGAACATGAAAAACCCAAGGAGCAACTCCTCTTCATAGAACCTGCCCTCTATTTCCAGTTCTTACCTCCAATCGTAGTTTCAGCGTCTTTGCAGTCAGTAACTCTTCCCTCTCCTCCGGTTACCACCCTCGAGACTTAAACCGCCGCCGTCCCACTCCCTCACCTTCTCTTCTAGCTCTTTACTCCCCTCCTCGCAGCTCCCCAGTAGCTGCGAGTTTTAGTAGTTGCCGAGTTTACCATTTTCTTTTTGTTGAGTTTTACCATTCCATTTTTGTTAAGTTTTACAGTTTTCTTTTTGTTGAGTTGTATCGTTTTCTTGTTGAGTTGTTTTTTATGCTTTTGCTTCCTTATCATCGTAACTGCAGAAGATTTGAATGCACACTCGTCAAGTATCATCGGAAATCTGAAGGCCTTGTGTACCCGAGCGTTTTTTTGTATTTGCCGGGTATTTCTGTGCTCTCTGTGCAATAAACTCTGTTGAATTTTGCGTGCAGATGTTACTGATACGAAGAGGTTTGGCAAGTGAACGAAAAAACTGCACAGGCAAGAAAAATAAAGGTGACAGTGCTTTACGGAAAAGCGGATAGCAGGCGGACCTCACCCATCGCACCGTAACCGTTTTAGTCGTTCTTACTGTTCGATAATCGAACTGGACGGACAATTGGGAGTGTTGCTGCTTGCAGTCCAAAATTTTTAATATCCGGACAGTTTATGCAGGGACATTCAAAATGAATCTAAGGAGAAATGGTTTACGTCAGTTATTAGTGACTGGTACCGGTGAGAACCACCTGTGTAAATCTTTAGCTTAGCGATTTCTCCTATTCTGCAGAAGATTAAGAACTAATAAAAGCTCCCAAAAAAACTGAACTGGAAGTAAAACATTTATTGATTAGAGCAATTATCCAGTCTGACTCGTCCCAGTTCTGTAATGACAACTGGTTTAAAAGACTGTGTAGACCAATCACAGCAATTAATAAAAACCCAGCCTGAAACGCACCGGGCCGCTAATGTGTTCATGCGTTTTTGCACCATATTTAAAGCAGTCAGGCGATCCACAGGCTACGAATGTGTGAGAAATTTTCCCGCCGAAAATTTTGAGTGCCTGTGCATGAGAACCACGAGTATCTGGGAGTTAAATTTGAAATCTTTAAATTGGACTTGGGAGGGAACATCCCGTTAAAATTTCAGCTGTCCAGCTTTTCTGGTCCCCGAGTTAGCAGTTTTCTCGTCAAAAGTTCCAATTGCTCGTCTGCGGGTCTCAGACATGCGTAACGATAGGTGTCGCAGTCCTGGGGCGGCACTTAGCCAGGGAACTCAGTGGCAAAGTTTCAGCGCCGAAGATTGCTTGGTTGTCGAGTTGAAACACCCGAACAGACAAACAGACGGACACACCACACATACACACACAAACACACACAAACATACACTATACTTTGTCACAATATGCGTTTTTGCGTTTCCATATTTGCCAAACTCCACAAAAACGGGTTCGCAGAAAAGTCCTCCGTATGCAAAAATGCATAAAA